ACAAAGCCATGACATTTTTGACACACATTTGACGCGCGTCAAAGTTTGGATCAAAGCTATGATCATATTTGACTTCGACTTTGATCAGGATCAAATTTAAAGTAAATCCAATTTTTCGTGCCGTGTGGATAGTCAAAGCTAAACATTACTTATGATAAAAAAGTTCACAAAACACACGTAGCTCCGAATTCGAAGGAACGTCCTTTTGACAGCGTCACTTAATTTCTTGCAGTAAAATTTTTTTGGAGTAGCGGAGCACCATACTCATATAGGAAAGAAAAGGAAACCCATACGGAAGCCGGTGAACGCTAACCTAGGATTAAAAGTTAACCGAAGTATAAATTTTTCTTGTATACAAATGTTTTTCACTGCTTTTGTTTGGTGTAGTTTGAGATTATTCAAACTCAAAACAGAGGGCCAAACAATATAAACGGAAAACCTCACCGCAAAGTAACAAAACTCGAATCAAAATTTTGGGCTTCGAACAACCCGGCCCAGGAGCTTCGCTTTTAGGCTTGGCTAAATCTACATATTATTTGAACAATGTGGCATGCATATCTAACGTTTCATTTAACTCACCGCCATGTTGACGATTAGATAGTTTGTTGCTGTTTGCATTCGCCTGTGCCTGTATATTATCCATATGACCATGACATTTCCAAATAAGGCCAAACATAGGATGAACAAGTACACAATGGTCTTTATCCATTCTTCCGCGGCCGACTCCCTTTGAGGGGAACACTCCAGCGGAGAACCCTGGGTAGCATTGGCCATTTCATAGCTGCTGTTCATGTTCTTGAAGTTTAGCGCGCGTCAGTATCTGTAACAAGATTCACATATTCACTCATTCAGGTTAGGGTCAATATAATAAAATGTAATACATATGCTCGGTGACATTTGATTCAAGGCTTTCTGAGAAGAGAGTTGAACATACGGTGGATACCACGCGCGAGAGGAAAAAATGTCTGTTTTGGAAATGTTAGTAGATCGTGGGATCTACTTCATAAGTGACTTACCAAATTCAGACCCTTGAAGAATTTTAAAACACTTTCCACTTCAAAATCAATTACTTGAACTAATTCCAGTTGATTGTCGCAATAGCAGATTTGCACGATATCGTCATTGACTACAACTACCAAAGTTCCTTTCGTTTTTTTCTTATTTAAATTTTGAATCCTCAGTGGGGTTTCAATAACAATTGCCCTAATTAGCATAAGAAACAGAAAATGTGAAGGATTCTGGCAGTTGTAGTCAAAACATAGTTTTTCCCAGTTTGTCGATTGGCAAAACAGTTTTAAGGAAATATACACGTGACAGTAAAGGCAATAAACTGCGAGAGTTTTCTTTTAAAGTTCTCCATGGGATTATTCCAACTAGGAAAGAATTGAAGAAATACAAACTGGTCGACGTCACTGATGACCAATGTTCATTACGTTTTAATTAAGATTCATTAGAACGCATAATTTTATAATGTAATGAATCGATAAATATCTACACGAAAGCTTTAAGATGGTTAAATGATTATGATAAGACCAAAATGCAACTCTCACGCGAACAGATTGGATCAAACTTATTTGAAGACTGTCCGTCCACCGGAATTGCCCAAACCCCATAAGAGCAGACCACCCTTGTTAATGTTATTACAAAAGAAATATCATTACACTTGCAAAAAATTATTCATGAAACCCTTCAGTTAAAGATGAATTCTTAGCTAAATTAAATGAACAATGCAAGACTGAAAATTTTGGCTTGAGGAAGTACGGCAACTGGCGGTTTTCCTGGAACAAGTCTAAACCGTATTATATTGTAACTACGGTTTATAATTTGCAACTAATGCTAATTGCATGTTTATTGAATAAAGAAAAAAATACGTAATGGTATTGTAAGTACTGCATCATCGTATTGTAAGAAATCTAATTAGCTATATGCATCTTATTGCAAGGCGTGTAAGTTTTAAATTAAAATTGCGAAAAAAAGGGAAAGGAAAAAATCTTTAAAGTTGTAGAACTGAATGTATTGTAAGTATTGTTCGCAGAGTAAGTAGTGTTGTTATGAGGGAAAGTGTGGTAGATACTGTATTGTATGTAGTGCAAGGTTGATTAAACTAAAAAGAAAATTATACGCGCACCGGAGTATTTTCGACGAACGTCGCCGTTGTTTGTAAAAGCGACGAAACACAGACTGTGTCAAAAGTTTGAGAAATCTTCTTATTAATCGAAGCAAAACCAAAGAAGAGACCGGAGAAACAAATCGTAAACATCTATGCTAATTTAAGATCAGATACCATCATCAAGGCTATGATTTCTTTTTGTTTATCTGGATAAAATATTAATGCGTTTTAGAATACGTTATCCAGCTCTGATAAAATTCTTTACAGCCATAAAGCATCGAGAGTAAACAATTACTGTACGGGATAACTTGCTCCTTATTTTTAAAATATTACGTTTTAATCTTGGGCTAAAGTTTTACACTTACCGCTTTACACGTTTGACTTTGCCGATGGATTTCACTTTGATGCTACTCATCCACTGTCCCTTTATTTCTTGAGAAATTCGTTCTTTCGCGGTGCAATTACTTGTATAGTTAACTAGCCCACGCTTTGATCGTTTGGAGTGAAAAAAACCACTCTTCGCTGGCTATCACAGCAACACTAGATGTGAGTCGGACACAAATTTCTGTGTGTGTCTCTCTCTTGCTCTACTTCACCAAGCATGCAGGTGTTATCCATCATTTAACCTAATGGCCAGGACCACATCTTCAACGTCAAGCATGAATAATTTACCTTTTTCACCAAATTACAACAAATTCAATTTACTGACTGGTGAAGCAAGTTCGACATGGTCTTTTTTCATTATTCTTATAATAAAACTTGAAATCACGACCGAAGAAATTGCCTGGAAAAATCGCATCGCTTTGGTTACTGAGCTATACTTGAAAATAAACGTCCTTCTGCTGTTCGAGAGTATCTTTCACTGGGATCAAAACAGAGAACGGTTAACCGAGTTAAAATTAAAAGTCTCACAAGTACAGTCGAAAAACTCTGTTTTACCAGTTGAAACATCTCAAGTTTGACGTATTTGCATCAACTCTTTTCGTTTCCTCCCGTGGCGAATGTAATGTAAAAAATCCACAGTACACACACGGAAATGACGCAGTTTTCTTAATTTGCTACCGTAACTGATGTAGTTAAATTTTACATTTTAATATAATTTGCAAGCTTAAATGTACTGATAACCTTTCGCAAGATAGGTAGGCTCGACACAACAGTCGCCCCTTTCTTGTCGATATAAAAGCACTTTTCGAGGTTAAATTTTGTTTTGTACGTCGAAAAAAGCCGTAAATGGTATTTGAATTTATGTCTACCTTAAACCGTGTTTTTTCTTCAGGCGTTTAATAATTTAAGAGAGTCCACTTATGAAATATGAATGCAAACCGCGCCTCACAACCTCTGACATTTTCCGAAAAGAACGGACATAGTAAGCAGGACCCAAATATTGACTTCATCCGGATTTATTCACTTTTTTTCACGACAAATATTGTCAAAAAATGTCAACAAATCACCAGGGATTTGTTTTTTTTCTTAAACTATTGTTTGTCTTTTTGTTTTATTAATTAACAATTCTCATCGCCGTATGCTGATACGGATGATGCATCGGTTAAGGGGAAAATCAAAAGTAATTAGTATTACAGTCGATTCGAGAAATAAATTAGGATTTTTGTGGTTAATATAGTTCTAGATAACCGGGTTTTCCTTTCTCACGGAAATGACAACAAAAGGAAGTTTTCTTTGAGTTAAAGATGCATTAAACAGAGACAATCGCACTTCATTTATTGAAAGAAAAATGGTCAGTGGAAAGTTCGAGGGTTTCAAATTAATTTCTTTTGAACTTCTAAAAATATCGCGTTTCAGTTTTCGCTAACTATAAATTTTTACAACATTAGCAGGCTAATCAGTGCAAGAGCGTCTTGTGGGCATAAGATGCTATTCTATACAAATTTCCCAACACATTTTAAAAAGCAACTAAAAAACGTTGACAAAAATGGAATCCTAAAGAACGGGCACATTCTGTTTTTGTCACAAGTAATGCTATTTCTTTAAGATTTCCATCATTATTTACGGTACAGAAACATCCTTCCTGAGATAGTAAGGAGATTTATCCTTTCACAGATCTGGTTAACCAAAATACAGGCGCAGCTAAACACATATTTACCTTAAAAGACTTGCTACAAATTTTGGGCAGCCATTTTCACTTAGGTTGGTATAAACGGAACAATGTTCTTCAGTATCTTTCGCGTTTGAGCCACGACGAGACGACTGATGTGGAGTTTTTTGTAACAAGTGATAGGAAACGAAGAAATTTGAAACCCACCTATTGACGACTCTTTATAAACCGACAGCGGTAAGGCATATATGACAAAACGACGATGGCAACTGTTTGAGTGGACTAGTAAACATCACCTTCCTTTCTGTGTTAGATGCCACATTTGTTTGTGGATAAAAATTTATTAAATGCCTCAAAATGGCTCTTCTGTCGCCATGCGTCACCGTATTATAATCTCTGTTCCGCCCCATGATACACAGAGGCCCCAAATCCACAAAGCAGTGTTTGGACAAGGATCACTTGTCGCGGTTTTGCCTTAAGCCGTTCCCGCTTGAATAGTCGCTTATTGACCGAACATTCATTAAATACTTGTCTTATTTACTGGGATGCAGCTGCCGTAAATAAAGTGAGATAAAAAGCTTGATCTTCACCGTGAGGAAATATTTCTCTAAATGGGCTCGGAATCATTTCACAGATGGAAGCACTAATATGATCTACATTTACAAACCAAAAAGGCACTTTCTTTTACGATGTTATGGCTAGTATCCTTGCATACGACCGGCGCGCCTGAAATTGGAATTGACCAATCAGAATTCAGCAGGCGGGGAAAACTTTACTGGTCTGACAATTTGTGTCTCCATGCTTTTATTTTGGCCCCAAAAATGGGTCGCCCGCGTCCGGCAACTCGCCCGTCACCCTTTGAGTGTCTCTAGGTAGGATAATAGTTGACTTTAATATCTTGAAGAAAATATCTCATTGCTCGTCAAATTAAACCCAGAATTCTCGGGTTTGGTATTAGAAAATGGCAAAGCAATTTTAGTATTATGTTAGCTGCAAATAAAAAGACTATTATCGTGTCATTTCGGTAGGACAGCTCGGTTTTGACTGCCGCTCGTCTTGTGGGCGCAGCTACCGTATAAAAGGATTGAAGTAAAAGTTTATTTCTCTTGTATAAAATAAATAAATAAATAAAGTAAATCTTGCTCAACATGGGAATCTTTTGAGGTTAAAATACTATTAGAAGACGACATTTCGGGCATTTTTACTGCTCTTCTCCTGCACTGTAGTCTTTGGCGCCCGCGGTCTCAGTTTTTTGGCTGGCCGCTGTGCGCTCGCAGTCAATGGATTTTCTCAGTACAGTTAGGTTCTGTTATATAAATGAGGGAATTTTGGCGTTACGGATCAACTATGTTCTTGCACTATATATTCCGACTTTTTCTGAATCAAAGAAACGATTTTCCTCTCTGTTGTTCTCGTAGTGACGCAATCCCTTCAAGAACTTTCCTTTGTCGTATTTGCTATTCTTCCATTTGATTTCTTTGTTATATTCTGTGTTGTGACGTGCTAAACCACCGTCTTCTTAACTTGACTTTCATAGTCTCTTTTTTTTTTTTTTATCAAAAACGTCTCTATGATTCACTTGGTCAACGCGTTTCTGTCTCGGCGCCGAAATTAAAAAATACGTACGAGTTTGGAGCAGAATGTAATGGCACACGATCAACATAAGATCAATAGGTTAATTTAGATAACAAATGAGAAGTGAAAAGTTTTTTGGACAGCCTTTGCTTTTCTGGTTGATTTGAACACTTTAGGATAAAACCATTTTTTGCCCTGTGCGCACAAGTAAATGTATCTCTATCACGTACAGTAACGATAAAGGTGTACATGTATTCACAACACAAGCACCTACCCAGTTCCGTATAGCCAGCTGCTCTACATTAAAAGAGCTCAGTTACGTTATTTTGAGATAGCTTGGCCTCGCACACAATTAACTTTGAATTGGAAGAGGTCTGAAAGTAAAAATTTTCTAAGATAAGAAAACATCAAAGAGATAATAAGAAATCAGAAGGCAACAATAATGGTTAAAGATGGAGAATATTAACACGAATTACAATCGACGAACTTGAAAAATTTAGGCTAAACATTTCAAGATGCGTAAGCCGCGACGTTGCTCCTCAAAGAGGACACCTTGCGGACTTTCCCTTCGTGTCCGTTTAACAGAGATTTTGGTGTCCGCGTCCGCTTAATAGAGGGAGTCCGCTAATAGGGATTCCGCTTGATAAACGTAGGCGCAAATTTTCAAAGGGTGTCCGTTTGATCCGGAGTCCACTTAAGGTGGCTCGAACAGTTTCGAGTATATTTCGGCTCTTCTAATTTACTAAATTAATGCTGCCACTCTTTTTCAGTTGACAAACAGAAATGGCATCAAAAAAATGTAAAATTATTAGTAAATAAGTTCACGGCATTACAAGTTACCATAGCAGTGGTATAGACTAATGAAAACACCCTTGATTAATTGTAAGATAGCTCAGGTAGATTATCTTGATGTCACTATTAGGCACATCAAGGGAAAATTTCTCTTGGGTACATAGAAAATTCGACTTCTGAATCAGTTACACATGTACGATCGACACATTTGCAATTTGGGTCGAGCTTTCCACTATTTTCGACTATTCCAGAAGTCGAGTCGTGTCAACTCGAGTCGACTCGATCGTACGCGACGAATTGACGACATTTTCTACCTCCCGGTCTATATCGCCTATTGCTTAGTGCACGAGATGCTTTTCATCAGAGAATAGACCAATTTCGATATATTAAAATTCAGCCTAAACCAATAGACCTCAGTACAAGGCTCTGGGGAATAACTACAGAGTTTGTGGGGTTTATTCCCCAAAGTCTCGTGCTGAGGTCTATTGTGTAAGGCCAGGAGCCATAATCGGGATTATGGCTCCTGGTAAGGCTGAATTTTAACATATCGAAAATAGCGCAAAAGTATATGTGTAATTTTGCTTCGCACTCTTTCTGTAAATTCATTTTTACACCTTTACATTGACTCGCAGAACTTGTATTCCTTATTACTTTGACAATGGCGTCACAAGGAAACCAAAACGTCGGTTTTTGCCGTTAGTGTTTGCTTGTTTATGGATGACTAAATCCTTATTGATATGATCAGAGTCAAATGATAAAAGTGTCTCGGAAATTTAAGCACCCTTTTTAAAGTTCGAGTCTACCCTCTAATTAGCGCTTTAGAAAGTAACACCGTACCACGACGGCAGATTTCTAAAATAATCTAACATAAATTCTTACCTCCCTCTGAAGCAGGGATTAAAAAAGGCTTGATATTTAAGATTTTCGCTTTTTTAAGCCTGAACCTTTTTTCGTAAACCCGGGTCGAATCCCCAGGGCTGTTTCAACATGATTTTACCAGCACCCTTCTCGCATTTTATTTCTCAACTGACACAAGTCTCAAAACGAATTAAAGGGTTTCAAATTTCCAGTCATCTGGTACCTACCAATAAGCTAGGTTTAACATGCAGAACTTTTTTCAAGCGCATTAATTTTAATGTGAGTGAAAATGCTCATTTGTGGAACTGAAGGATGCCTATCCCCAAAAATTTATAAACAAATTTATAAAAATTTATAAATTTATGTCCGATGTGTCGAAATCTTAAAAATAGGCTTAACAAAGCGATCGATCTTAGAGCTAGTGTAGCACGCTCGTTTTGGTTGATATTTTTTGTCTGCTGTGACAATACTCATAGCAATAGGTTGATTGGAATTTCAAAATTTTACAGCTGCTAAGCGGCTCATTTCATTTCAATGCATTTCCTTTTTATTAATCGCTTGACTCAAAACGAGCGAAGGAGGTCTTGTACAAATAAAACTAACAATAACGCCTGCCTGAATTTCCGCTTGTCCATTTCCTACGATCATGGACTTTCACACACGCCAAACAAACAGTCACGCGTGGTCGCGAATGCAACTACACCTACCCAACCCCTCCCCCAACCCACATAAAATGTTGAACATCTGCACCCGCAATTTCTCCTGAGTTTCAACACTGTATGGGGTGAGGAAAGGGGCGGGGGGAAGTAACGCATAGCAGAGCTTTTTCAAAATCCATTTCTAACACACAGATAATTCATACCATTACATAAGTGTATCAAGGACTTCTGTCCACCATTGTAGTTACCGTAGATATTTTATTTTGAGACACGTCTCCTACTCTTATCTCGCGACATCCGGTTCGGTTACACTCTTGTTTCATAAGAATATTGTGTTTGTTTTTTTCGTCTGAGGCTGAATATTCTGATTTTTCTGCCGATTTTAATTTAGGCTAAAAATATTCTTGTGAATATTCTTAGATTATAGCGCATGACATTTCCGAATATATTGGGGTATCATTTACAAGTGTTTGCTTTCTAGATGGGGTTTAAGTAATTTTCGAGCCAGCCTGCAGGCATTAAAGCCTGATAGGATACACATAACTTCTTGCAGAAATGTCATTAGCATCGAACATACGGCTGTTTTTGTTGCTTTTTGGCTAGTTTTCCGTTTAGAGAAAGGAAGAATTTTATACAGTTTCTCAGTTGAAAACGTATAATTGTGTTATATTTACAAATGTTCAACACACAAAACTATATTCTTTTCAAAATCTCACCCATGGGTTTATTCTTACAATTTCGCAAATTTCCTATAAAATATAATATTCTTGATGATGAGTGTTGTCAATCATACTCTTAAAAGTAACATATTATAAATTATGGCACAATTTTTCAATCAAATTTATTTTAAAAGTAAATGAAATTGCAAAATATTTTTGCGTAAATAACACTCATAACCGTGATTTAAAGTTAACTGTAACAAATATCAAAGCCAACAAGTGTTGTGATTGATCTCAAGGTTTTAATTAATGTGGCTAAGTTAATCTCGAGCCAATGCGGCCAGCGGTCACTCCCATTTGCGTACGGGACCTGCGGGGTGACCTCAATAGCTTGCAGCTCACCTTGTGGCCTGTATACGTTTTGCTGCATTGCCGCTGATCTTTGCAGATCATTTGCATATTCAGCTGATCTTTGCGGATCTCTGGCTGCTGTTGTCAAGAAAGTCCTAATTTTCTGCGAATCGTTGCGCATTCTTGCTCCCAGACCTCCCGCCATCATAGTTCGTGGGTTTGGGTAAGTATAGGATTCCCGCTCGCAGGGTTGCCATGGATACCTCCCTGCCGTGCCTGAAGTGCCCAGGCCCCCTGCCGACCTATAAGGCTAGAATCCATTTCCTTTTTTCGTTATGAAGGATTCTGGTAGTTGTAGTCAAATGACGCCATCAGGCAAAGCGCCTATTGTGCTAAGAGAAGGTATTTGCACAAATAGCGAGGACCTAGTTTACGGAAATGCAGCTTTGAGTTTTCGTAATTTATCGGGGAACATCCAAACCATGCACTTACATCCGTCATTTTACAATATACTAGTTTCTCAAAATTAGGAAAATGTAGGATAAAGCGATACAATGTTAGAAAAAAACTTAAACTTCTATTCATATTATACCAGTTTTTATGTTTTACATTTAAGAAATAGAAAACATGTACCGTGTTTCTATCGAATTATAGCTATATAGAAGCACGTGTGGAAGTTTGGGAGAACAAGAAATGCTGTGGGAACACGAGCGGTAAGCGAGTGTTTCCACAGCTTTTTCGAGTGTTTCTATAACTCAATAGAAACACGGAGAACATGTTTGCTATTTCTTTTAGAAAACACCGCGACGAAAAAAAGGAAACAATTTGTTTACTTTGATCATCAAACTGTCAACAGCTCGTGCTAGTTCTGTGTTTCTATCGAGTTATAGAAACACGATTTTTAACCAATCAGCGCGCGTATTTTCTTAGGGCTGTTTTCTAATGGTGTATAACACTCAGGCATGTAACTTTTTATATTTATTTACATTGTCAATTGCAGTAAGCAGACATTATTATTTTTTATTGTCAATGTTATTCCAAATAATAAAAGGTTGCTGAAATGAACTAATACTACAAAGTTGCTGAGGAAATGTTAAAAGTAGTGAGACAAGCATGTTAGAACAGAGTTGCTATGGCAACTTCAAGACCTCTGCAGGGAACACAATCTTTACATAGAAAGGTCATCGAGGAATGAATGGAAAGTCATTGAAAGTATAAGCATCCCGAAGTGAAACCTTTCTTCAAAATTGTAAGAGACAAAACTGAGCTTTCGAGTGTCATCCTCTATTTCACATCCCAGAGTTAGTAATGGACATTTTTACAATGTCGCGCAAAATCAACAAGTTTTCGTATTTTTGAAATCAACAGAACCCAACCTCCATAGT